TGCAACATGTATGTACTTTAGTCACATTAATGCTACAAAGATACCAGAATGTGTTAAGAAGGTAATTAAACACTCTGCTCACTCTGTGCTATTTTATAGGGAGAGTTGCTTCTTTTTTTCTAAGTGCTGTCTAAGCATCCCTTAATGGGAGATTCAAGATTGTGAGGGCTTACAAAACATTTCTTGAACTTCACCAAGTTGTGATTATTATCCTAAGGTATGATCCCTTACAAAATCTGTTTTTTTTTTTTGTGACAGTAAGTTGTTGCAGGAACACCGTATCACCTTTTAAAACTGATGTTATATTTCTGTGCCTTTGAAACATGACTTACCCTTCTATAGAAAACTCAATCCAAGCCCTATGATTCCCTTTGTTGCATTTCATCTCATCACTAGTGCTGTCTGAGTTCACTGCAGTAGCTTTGAAAGGGTGTTACTTTGGGGATACTCTTTACTGGGCATGTCTTTTGGCTGACGACGACATGGTGCCTCAGTAGGAATGACTGCCTTGCTTTCTTGAGGCTGGGCTTGCTGCTCTGGGGGTTGTATTGTTGATCATCTCTTTAAGTACCACTTGTGGTTGGAACTTATTTTAGACATGTAGAGGTGTCCTCGAAAATTGTACAGTGCCACATAGTGAGGCTAAAAGATACTTCAGGAAATCCATCCCTGAGCCACATGCACAGTTCACTATAGTTGTGTCGCTCCTGACAGATACCTTATGTATCCTCCCAAGCCTCCAAAGATGGAGGAACCATACCTCCCTGGCAATCTATACCAGTATTCACTGTCCACACTGTTAGAAAAGCTTCACCGATGTCAAACCTGGGTCTTTCTTATAGCAATTTAAAATCTTTATTTCCTGGTCTCTGCACGATGAACTAGGTCACTTCTTTCTCCTTTTCAAAAGCCTTTTAAATCTGAAGGCTTTTTTATCACTCTTCTGCCAAGACTTGCCTTTTCCTTAGCTGAACAACTTTGATTGTTTATGTTGTGCTTTCTGATTATTCTTGTTGCTCTCCTCTAAATTCTGTCCAGTTAGTTTAGATACTTTGGAAGTAAAGTGGGCAAATGAGACACAGTGCTTTAGCTTAGGTCTTATCTAGGCTGACTAAAGCACAACTGCATTATGTATCTGATCTTTTACTACATCCTAGTACAGTGTTTGTTGCTTTCACACAAGTATGGCATTACTTACTCAGTTCTGTTAATATCTATTATAAACATTTCTATTTCTGCGGAACTGCTGCTAAGACACTTGTTTCCTACCCTGTCTTTATATAACTGATTCTACCTGAAAAGTAGTCAGCGCTATCTGTGTTGCATAATAGCATCGTATTTTCTTCAGACCAATGTCAAAACTGTATCAAATTGTCAACTTATTCTCCAATGTATACGCAGTCTCCTTCCCATCCTGAAGTCTCCTGCAGAATCAATCAGGGTACATTCTACTTCGTCCTGTGTTAATATTTAATAGCATCGAATGTGATATATTCTTGAGAATGCCAGTTGGACAGCGCTTCACTGGTAATTGATTTCAAAATATACTTTTCCAACTGGCTTTGCACCTATTTTGTAAGAATTTAATCTGCCCTTGGCAGAAGAGATTATCATACGAGACGGTGCCAACTAAAGTAAAGGGTTGAAAAACTACTGTTTCTTCCCCAATCTATCTATGTTGCTACCTGGTCATGAGAAGAATTAGATCCCTGTGGCATGTTTTGTTCTTGATTAATATATGTCACATGTGAGTCGTCTCCCTGGTCTTTTCCAGGTGCTTACAAATGGACTTTTTCTAGTAGAACAAGCTGACGTGTCTATAGTTTTCAGCTCGTCCTTTTCCTATTTTTCTGTCTTCTGCTGCCTTCCTCAGTCCTCAAGAATTGTCAGAGGTGACTGCTGATGCTTCTGAGATGGCTGCAGCCCTCTTTAAGTTTCTTCAAGCCCTTCAGGTTTCCTGCTTGAAATTCTACAAACCCAGCCAATCTGGAAATAGCTAATTTATGTAATACTTTCTCATCCATTCTTTCACTTTTTCAGTCTGAGATTTTACTTCTTTCACTCTGTTACTTAGGATATTAGCTGTCTCTCTGCCACTGATCTTTATAAATGAACACTGATACAAAAAATGAATCAACTACTTCTGGCCTTCTTGAATTATCTGTTAATAGATTTCCCTCTATTGAGCAGTGAATCAAAACTTTTTCTTTTGATTGTTTTACTACTTCTGTAATTGTGGAATATTTTTTGTAGCTCTTGATATTTCTTGGTAAGTCTGTCTCATTTTATACCTTTGCTTTTCTAATTTTTTCCTTTGTTATTCAAATTATTTTTTATACTTGCCTTTTGTAAACCCCTTACTTTATCCTTTCTGTGAATTTCCTCCTTGTATTTCAGTGAAGAGCTCTTTATTTAGCTAAGTTGAGTCTTTACTGCTTCTAGCTGCGTGCTAGGATACATCCTATGTATGGTTAGTATTGTTTCATTAAGTAACTACCAGCTTTTTTAAACTTTCACCTTACACTTGCTCTCCCGTGACCTGCTCCAGGAATTTAGCTATCAGTATTCTGTTTTTATGGAAATTTTTCTTCCTGGTCCATTGTTTGTACTTTGATGTTCTTACTTCCTTCTGTGAAGTTCTGACACTCGATTGTTTCATGATCACCTTCACCCAAGTTACCTTCTGTCTTCGCAGCTGATCCTTCTGTATTGGTCAGGATCAAATGCAGGTGAACAAGCCTTCCTGCTGCTTTCTGCAGTTCTTGTGCTGTGCCTTAGCTTTCACCCTGGGTTTCTTCTGTACTTTTGAGTTGAATCAGATTTCTTCTAAATGCTCTCTTATGTTCTGTGTTGATTAGGATGGGAGATTTATTGACAAATCTTCATCCATATTCAATTTTTCAACTATTAGTTTTATGCATTTTTGTTGTAGCTTAACGGAAACTCTAAAGAACAAAAATGTGATTAACTGTCACTTGTCTATTGCTGTGGAAGTATCTTATCTTTTTTGTCTAGCACATTTTACCTCTCCTTTGAAGTATATTACTAACTAAAATTAAAATCTGGAAACTATATTGAGTATGTTGTGTCATATTGATTTTAAAAAAAATTAATCTTTTAAGAATGTGAAATTTAAAAATAATTTTCATAATGACTTTAATGCCAGTTTAGCCAACCATTTAAGTATATATTTACCTTCAGTCTCATTGAACTTGATGAGGACTTGAAATCCTTTAAAAAGAAAATGGAAGCAAAAATTATTAATACTCAGAGTGATACCTCTGACTTCATTGTTTATTTAAACATCTGTTTGAAACAGTTATTCAATGGATTTGTTTGCATTAGAGGCATCTTTCAAAAGATCCTTGCTATTCTTAGCATGCTTTAACTGCAAAAATGGACTGTCTAAAGCATGCTCCACACAGTTCTAGAAACCAACAAATGTTGAAGGATGTTCTGCCACCCTTCTGGTGAGACAGAAATGTTTATAACTTAAATGAGTCTTTCCAAAATTGTTGACTTATTAATGAGAAAAATCAGGAATCCAAATTTATTTGTATTGATTTGCCTTTTCAGAGACTTCTTGTAAGGTATGAGTATAAACGAAAAAACATTTGCATTGTTTTCCATGTACAGGCCTCTCTGTTGAGATTATCTTATCGTTGTTTATTTCTGTCACGTGCTTCCCTCGTTTTACCCTTCCTGGCTGACCTGTAGTCTCCTTGTGCATTCATAGCTCCTAGCACTATTTGATTACTACAAGGACTTTGTCACATCATTAAAATTCTGTTGGAGCCAATGAATGGGTGCCCAGCTTAAGAAAACTGACACCTGGCAACCCAGCAGTGCATGACATGTTTCTCCGTACTTCCAGCCTGGCTGTCCTGCCTTTGCTGTATGGCTGTAACGGAGCCGTGGCCTCCATGGACTGAGGTGCAAGGTCTTGCCCTTGTGGGAGACCTCTGACCTGCCCTGTCCACAAGCCCGCAACTCCAGCCAAATTCATCCCTCATGTCATGTCTCCTGACATTTCACACTGGAAGTAAATTTGGACCATGCTGTTAACTACCAGTCCCAACAAAGCAAAACGTCTTCTCATCATTCTGATGTGGCTGCTGAAGCCTGGTTTTCTTCTCCTTTGTCTCTATTTCTACTGTCCTATAACCCTTTACTTTCCTTTTTCCTCTGCATTGTGCCACGTTTTTCCTGTCTCCCCTCTCCTTTCACCTGTTCATTGTGTGCTGGTTTTCCCATTTCTCTCATTCCCTTCTCTGCTTCTCTTTTGTAGAGCCCTAGTAGCCTTCCCATTCACTCTTCCCTTTGCAGAACCAAGTCACCTGCTTTACTCTTTTTTTTTTCCTTCACTACCTGCTTTGTGAAAGTTCTTACCCAGGTCTCTGCGAGGGGCCCACGTGCTCTTGCATTCCAGAGAGCAGCTATAAAAGGGTTGCCAGCTAGGCCTGGTGATAGCTTAGAAAAGACAAATAGAGGGAGCAGAGCTTTTTCTTCATTCTTGTTTCTTGTGCTGTGCTGGAAGGAAGAAGAGGGCTGAAGAGAAAAAGAGAAAAAGATGGTGAAGGAGAGAGTTTCTGTGGTGGGGGACTGAGTGGCGGAGGCAGCTGCGTGCAGGGGAATGCTGTTGTGCCCGCTGCAGCTCAAGAGCAGCAAGCAGAAGAGCTCACTGTGCCTGTGTAGCCTCAGATCTGGTGTGATGTTTGGCTATTGCACACTTCATTACTACTTTAGAAAGTCTAACATGCATTTGTTTATTCATCTCCACGTATCATGTCACTGTTTTAATTTGCTGAGCATGAAGAGCCAAGTTTGTCTTTAGGATGTCTTCAGAGAGCTTTTTTTACTCACGTCCTTTGGGCAGAGCTTGGACTTACATGCCATTCTTTGTTTTTACAGCTTTTTTGTTCATTTTTTTTTATTTTAGCCTTTATTTTATTTTGCTGCTCAACCTTTATAAATTTATTTCATTTCATTTTGTTTTTCAGACACCTCTTATTGAACCTCACATCCCACATCGTCCTACTAAAACCATTACACAGGTAATAGGACATAGGTGTACTGTAGAGCCAGGCCACTAGACAGATGGAAATAACTCCTGTTCCCAACAGTGTGATGCGTATCAGCTGAAGTGATGCTTTCTGTTAGATAAGTATGTGAGACTTAAAATCCCGAATATATACTACATTGGTCTGCAAAAGTAAGTGTCTGTGCAAGGACTTTTAATTTAGGGAAAAGAGAACTTGTGTTTTGTTTTGCAGAAGGCAGTACAGAGATTGCGGAAAGTTTAACATCTTTGTGTCTTGGTCCCTTTTTTTTTTCTCCACAATCACCAAGGTTCCTTCAGAAAAGATCCTCAGAGCTGGAAAGATTTTGCGGAATACGATTCTGTCCCGGGCCCCTCACATGATAAGAGATCGTAAATACCATCTGAAGACGTACAGGTGTGTGAGCTGATTGTATAGAGGTCTCTGAATTTTTATGCCTGCCATCCTCTGATTTGTGATTTATGCCTTACCATACTTGCAGGTCTCAAAAGGTCTGAAATTATTCAGTGATGCTATTTGAGTCTGGATGTTATGCAGTCTTTAATGGGCCTGGTAAATGTTTTCTGAAGTAATTTGACTGGAAATTGAGTCCGTGATTGTGAACAGAGCATTCACATACAAAAACTCTTCCAAAGTTAATAGCATAGTTAGCTGGAATATTCTGTGCAATATCAAGTTAAAATGTAGTTTCTGTTCTCTTCTTGTATCGGTAAGAGATAATAGGAAAGCTCATTAATATGTTATGTTACTGTACTGATTGCTACAGCGGTGTTGCTCAGTGTGGAGTTCAGAAAATTCACCTGGTGATAAACATTCCTTATGCAGATATTCTGTCCTATTTAAAATTATCTTTTTTTCAGTGTATTGCCAGGCTTTCTTATCTTCCTGCTGGTGGCAGCACTGTCTTGCTGAAGTGGGATAACAATGGCACTTGTAGAATAAGAATGTGACTTCGAGTCAGCATCTCTCTGCTGTTGTCTTAAGAAACAATCAATTTTAGTGTCTAATATTTAAATCGAATACCTAATGCATTATTCAGAGTATATTTCAATAAAAATTGGTTTGAAATCTCTGAGTATGTCTTTTCTAAATAGTAAATCAATATGTTGCTGATCTGCTTTTGAGATAAGTGCATTGATTTTCCATATTTCAGTCCAAAATGTGTTTAATATGATGCAAGGTATTTGGGGCTTGTGAGTTGATCTGAGTATATCACGATATGACATTGCTTATTGTTCTAGAAGAACAAAAGGGCATGTGTGATATATGAAGACCAATGCTAGTCCAAACAACTGCATCATTTTATCTTATACATAACTGGGAAAAAATCCTACTGTTCTATCCTTGGGTTTTTTAAATATGGAATGACAAAATTCAGATTGGATCCAGGTGAGGGAAAACTTTGTCACCAAAATGGGATTTTAATTGGAAGAGCATTATTTAAGCTCAGTTTCAGCAATTTCAGTATTATCTGTTTCCTTGGTCTCTGAAAGTGGTGCAAGAAGCATGAAGCCACGAGAGCCTGTGTAGGACTAGCCAGCTTCCTCTCTGTTCTGCATGTGATCAGTTATAGATTTGTACGCTTTTGATCACATTGCTTATTTGCTTCTGTTCTGCTAAACTAGGGAGTGTTATGACAAAGAATTTTACTTAGTGACTGTGTGGCTTTTTGTTTTTTCCCACCTCTTTGGGCGTTCTCCAGAACTTGAGTCCTGCTGTTGTCTGCCTTTGGGTCAGTCAGGAGCTGGGAGGTGACGAGCACTTAACATGAGAGAGCCTCAGAAACACTGCAGCCCTACAAACCAATGCATCCAAATACAGTGTGGCTGGAGTTTGGTTACAAATGGAGGAACACCCTCATAACACTCGCTCTTCCTGTGGAGGCTGTTCGCTTTGGCAAAGTTTTTACAGTGTTAGATGATTGTTTTCATGCAGGATTCTGAAAAGCGTGAGGTTTTTGAAATCACTTGGTATACAGAGGCGGCTTCCTTTGAAATCTGGGCTGGAGGTTGTTGCACTGGTGCAACTGGTTTTGTACCAGGTGGCACAGGGTCATCCTGATCCTCTGAACTTCACATTTCCCAAAACACTTGTTGTTCTGCTGAGGGGATCCTCTCAAAACTGAACACCTTCACTGGTACTTCAAGCATATAGGCAAAGATGGTGACACTGTCTTCTGTAGGGAGATTTAACTAAGGTTATACAGAGTTCAAGATATCAGTGTTCTTGGCAGACACTGTGTGTGAGCTCTCTCTTGGCCAGCTCCCTTTTCATTTCTATCTATTTATCTGTCCTTCAGGCAATGCTGTGTGGGGACAGAACTAGTTGATTGGATGATGCAGCAAAGTCCTTGTGTCCATTCACGAACCCAGGCTGTTGGCATGTGGCAAGTATTGCTGGAAGAAGGTGTTCTTAATCATGGTAAGATAAAGAAAATCGCCATCTTGATAAAACATGAGCAACGTGTGACATCAGTGCTCCTGTAGATCTCTCTCATGAGAAAAGAAAGGGATCATGAGCCCAAAAGAAATGCTGCAGAGCAACCCATTAATTGATAAGTGCAAGTGCAATACAGAGACAGTATTACATGAATCTTCCTACCAGTATACCTTTTTAACTTATGAGAATGTTTAAAAGTAAATGGACAATTTATAATGATAACTCTATTTATGCTTAGAAGTACCTTGGCTTGTGATTATATTGCAAGAGCTGTATAGCACTCAGGCCAAAACCAAGAGATGTATTACCATACACAGAACTGATCTTCATCAAAGATTTGCAGCATTTGAAAGTGAAGTGAACATTTCTGTTTGCTGAGATCCATAATTTTGGAATTATTTTCATTGGTTTTGGAACGGTTCCTAAATTCAGCACTCCAAATATTCCAGTGCAGAGATCTGGGATTTTGTGTTAGTTTTCTGACTGTATTTTACATTGACTTTCAGTTTCCATTTGGCAGGATTTACTTGGTAACAAGATATAGCCCTCAAAAGGGTAGCTTTCTAAAGCAATATTCATATTTGAAGCTCTGCGTATTCAGTTTTATTAAGTGCAGAAGAGCAGCTCTATTACAGTACACTTCCATTTATCCTCTGTTGTGCTTCCCATATCCCAGGGAGAAATTTCCACACTGCAAAGACAGATTGTTTCCACTGCTTCCTTAGCCTGAGCGCTCTAGCTTTAATTCCTGCCAAATATACCCTTTAGCACCCAGGGGCAAGTGTCCAACTCAACACATCACTCTGACTTGCTTGGAAGACCAAGGGTTTGTCCTTCGCCATATCACAGCCTCTCTTTAAAATTCTTTTCTTAATTGTCTTTCCATTAAGTTCTTCCACCAGGACATAGGTCAATGAACTTGCCCCTGGGATTATGTCTTGATGATGTACATTTCTGGTACATCAGAAAGATTTTAGATGCTTTTTTTTTACAGTTTAGCCCTCTATGAAACCTGTAAGGCAAGGTGTTCATGCTAGAGAACACATCTTAGAAATTCATGATGTAACTGTTTCCCCAGTGTGAAGTATTTGCTTAAAGCAAATGGTTTGAAACAATAAGAACAAAACCAAATCTAATAAGAAAAGCACACACATGCACGCACATACGCATGTATGTATACACACCCACAACACCCTTTGGAAAGTATTTGTAGTACAGAATTTAAAAGTGTACCCTCCAAGCTACCTAATTTGAACATATGTGAGAAATAAAGGTGTTTCATGTTCTTGCAGTTTCCCTGTAGCTTTCTTTCCCTTTTAACTAATATATCTGTGACATATACAATGCTACACAGATTTCTAGAAGGCTAACTTTCTGAGGAGAGCTTAGTGTTTGATATGTTATGTTATTTTCAGTGGATCAGGAACACTACTTTCAAGACAAATACTTATTTTATCGATTTTTGGATGATGAGTGTGAAGATGCCCCTTTGCCAACTGAAGAAGAGAAAAAAGAATGTGATGAGGAGCTACAGGACACTATGCTTCTTCTGTCTCAGATTGGGCCAGATGCTCATATGAGGATGATTCTCAGAAAACCGTAAGCAGAGTAATGAGTTAATATTATACATGTGCCTTCCTTGTGATATGGAAACAGGAGAAATCTACATTTTGGAGTCCTTTGGCCAGTTATTTCACTTCAGTGCCAGTTTGTTTGACCTCTGAACATTTTAAGTCTATATTAAGTAATTTCCAGTCCTTATTAATGCTTGTAAGTTGAACTGTGTGTTGAGAATAACCATCAAAGGTCATGAATGCTGTCATACTCACCTTGCAGAAAATGCTGCATTATGAGTTTTTTATTTCATTTCTGAGCCTCCCTAAAAATAAGTTGCAGGTAATAGAAGAGTCCTGCTCCATTAACACTTTTTGTGTAGATGTGCCATTCAATTAACTATGCTGCTTTCAGTTATTGTGAGTGAGTAGAGTGGTAGGATGGCAGCACAGCAGGTACCTTTCAATTACAGTCATCAGTGGCAGCCATTAATGAGAATCATCCTTGATAGAACTTTATTGAATTAAGATAGGCTGAACTTAGCCTGTTGTAGTTTGCTAGCAAGGTGTGAAATGTGACTCTGGGTTTATTTATCCCTTCGTATTGTTATAAAATCAATACATTTGAAAAAAAATGCTTTCTGTACCTAGGCCATAGAGGATGTCTGCCTAACCTTTTCATAGCTATCAGATCATGTCCTCTCACTCATCGGTTGGCTAGCCATCCTTTCAGCAATACATTCTGGTCACACTGAAAACGGTGCTCAGGGCCTTTCTTACAGGCAGCTTTATAGTGACTTCAAAGCAACCAGTATAAACTCTGTTTGACCCTCCATTGAAGGCAACTTCTTCATTATGCAGGTAGTGTTTAGGGGCCACTGAAGACATGTTTTACTGCTAACTAAGTGCACTGAGAATAATGAATTACTTAAGGTCATCTTCACTGAAGATTTACTTGTAAGGTTCAGTTCAAGAAAGGTAAGTACAAAATGCTGGATCCTGCTCCTTTGAGGCCATTGGCAAAGTTTGTCTTTGCTATGGGGTAGGATTGGACTCTGCCTATGATGTGAGAACATTTTTTATACTGAAAGTGTTTTGAATCCACTTAACACAAGTGCCTGCTGCTGTTCTGTTTCCATCTGTATCCTTTCCCTGCTCCATTCTTGTCCCTGTCTTGTCTGTTTAGATTGTAAACTCATTTAGACGGCACTTTTCCAAAAACTTGCTAAAAGCATTGAATTTCAAAAGGTGCCATCAGATACTTGTGCTTATAAAAATAGGTCACACTGCCATGCAGCAATAGTTTTAAAAGTATAAATTCTCTTTCCTCTGTTGATTAGAGGTCTAGTCAAACAGAACCAAAGGAGCACTCACTCCCTGTCACACAAAATACATAGACAGACCAGACTGAGAGCGTGGTGCTTTCATAAACCCTTACGGAGACAGGGAACTGAGGTGTTTTCTCCTCACAGAGATGTCCTGTGCATTCTCCACTGAGAAGCAAAAGAAGGCTTCTTGCACCCATGAGCAGACGCCAGTCATCAGGACACCATGAGCAGTGCTATGTGCGCTGCGACCCTGCAGCTCTGCACTGTCTCCTTTGCATCAGGCTGACTGAGCAGGTTGGCTCTTGCAGAGTTACCCACTTAGGTTATCATGGGGTTTGGCTGCCTACTACATTTGCTTTCCGTTCGGAGCAACCAGTGTAAGCTTACTATGGCAGGATCAATGTCGATTATCATCCACTTCCTTGCACAGAGCTGAAAGGATGGAATGATGCTGTGGAAAGTACTGCTCTCCCCTCTGTGTCGTTGCTTGCACAGCATCACCTGAAAGAATATTCATAGGAAATTTTTCATGCAATATAGTGAGGGGAAAGAGGTTTTCTCAAGACTGACAGCTGTCTGACATCTTTCCCTACTGAGAGTGCTTATTTTTGCTGCCCTTTGCTCATGGAAGCAAGCTTGTACTGTCAGGCACCATATTAACTACTGTTCTAGTATTCAGTTTACATGCGTTATGATTTTGTTAGCTGAAAATCCACCCTGGGCTAAGCTGTATCAAAGCTGTTAAAATCTCCATGAATCCTCAGAGTCCTGCTAGTTTTGACTAGACACCGTTACAGCTGCCAAAAGTTCAAGGAATTGTCAGGACTTCAGAGACACTGGCTTTAGCTGACCTGAGCAGGACTCACAATTTTCAAACCAACACAGCTGCATTTTATAATAGTCACCATTTCCAGAGAGGTTGCAGAACTCAGATAATTACCCTGAAAGAAATAAGACAATATTCTTTGATGAGAAGATTACTTTGAGAATTTGATTGTATAATGAAGCTGTTGCTTTGAAAGGTACTTTCTATTGTTCAAAATCTGAAAATCTCTAGCAAAAAGTGTCACTTGTTTTGACAGCCGGCTTAAAAAATTCTCTGTTTATTACATTAACTGCAGCATTTTAACTGTCAAACTGTGAAAGAATGTTCTATAGTTTAAAAAACAGAATAGAGCTCAGGGAAATTTTTGGCAGGCTCTTGTTGCTATTGGGTGGGTTTTTTTCCTTTGGAAACACATACACTGTGAATGTGAAAATAGCTTTTTGTGAAGTAGCAAACACAGCTCTCTGCTCCTTATAATGCTTGGAGCACAGGTGCAGACCTTGATCAAGTCCCTGGAAAAAGTATTGCAGAATTAACACAGGTCTTCCTTGCAAGTATTTCAATCCTTCAGTACGAAAATACATCCTGAAAGCATTTTTCTAATTATTTTTATTTTATTTTAATGGTGTTCAGATAGAGCTAACTCGATGGTAAACCCTAATTAAATACAATGCTATAATACAAAGCTCAACACAATAATAACAGGAGTCTTTAAAGGGAGAATGATATTCATCAGACAACAATATTTAACCCAGATGATGTTATGAATTATATTCTCTTTTACGACTCTAGGCTACAGAACGCTAGCAGTATGACTGGAACAGTAAATCTGTGTTACGTATTCTTGGTGACTTCACTCAGCAATTAATTTTAGTGTCACTTGCAGAAGTAAGTACAACAGGATGCTTGGGAGAGGAAGGGAAGACAAATCTAAACATGGTAAAGAGCACAAAAAATATGTATAATAAAATAACAATTTAATTATTGCTAAGAATCTATAGCTTCTTGAAGGTCTTGTAAAAATTAAGCAAGATGTATTTATTCTTTCATTCTTAAAATTTTTTATTTAGATATTCCACCCAGCTGTTAGTAGTAAGAACCATACTGGATTTCTCCGTAAAGACTGTATCAATTTCCATAATCCTTGTTGGAGTTTCCTGCCAACAACATTTAATAAACAAAGTGTTATTCCTGGGACAGGAAATACAGATTATCTTTCCATATGTCAGTTCACTGACATTTATGGGTATTATATGTGGTAAATGGTATTTATGGAGTTAATCAAGGAAAACCAGGACATACTGATTCAAGTACAAATATTGCGTAATTGGCTTCCGTGCTAGAGTAAGTGAACATGCATTCACTTTCACACTCAGACACAGGGAGTGGGTAAAATTGTTCATATCTTCTATATATTCTTTATGGTACTTGGAGACAAAATTTGTAGTCAGGAAATACGTGTTTGTTTGACGTATAATCACAATGTTATGGGGTCTGATCTTTTCTCTTGTTCTTATTATCAGAGAGTTTTCTGGTTAGCTGTGTAATAAAAATAATCAATGATATTGCTTGTATGTACATTGTTTATCGATGGCAAAGTACTATGTTGTTGTCAACATGCTAGTCACAGAGAAGCTCAATGTCTCTGACCTTGATAAATTCTCCAAACACTGAACAGTTTTTATTGATCACTTAATATCACCTGAGTTCTCCTGTCCATTAATGTGTAGCCTCGTTCTCTACCTATTCCCTTTATTATCCTGTCTATAACCAGCTATTGCTGTTAGAACGTGTCCCCTGCAGAAACTAGGTCTTTACACAGCAGGATCCTACAAATCAACATCAGTGGGTCACCACACAGGTTTTACAGAAGCAGTGATGCCTAATATCTCTCCACGTGACATCTGCAGAAGCAGAAGTAAAGACTGGGTACATCCACTACAGATTGTCGGTCCTCCCGATGTGCTAACACAGGAGGCAAATGGACATAGTGAAAGAAAAGTGCACCCTTTTGTCTTGATAGAGATCTGATGTAGTAAGACACCGTCCTTGTGTAGTTTAATTTCATGTAGAGATTTATTAATTTGTTACACTATGTTTTCTGTTTTCCAAGACATGCTGGTTTCACAAGCATGTAATAAAAGTTGTTACTTCTAGGGGAAGTGCTATTTGTTAAAATCCTTACCTTGTGTTTCTTGAATTTCCAGTGAATGGTAGCTAGTACTGGCTTAGCTTTGTTCTGTACTTAAGCTGCTACTGCCCCACATAAATCACTAGGAGTGGCAGCCTTATAATTTCGAGCCCAATTTAGAAACATCGAAGAGCATTCTGAGTCACTAGAGGGCATAGCAGTACCAAACCAGTTTCTGTTTCTCCCTTAGCAGTTTATTCCATTCTGTATGAGAAAAGAATGATTTAATCCAAAACGTTTTTTGTCTAAATTGATCTTTAATCTGGGTAATAATAAATGCATGCCATTGGTAAGTGAAGAACAGATGAAAAATATAGCTTGCTTAGCAGAGATGTCAGTTGTCCTTACGTTTTCTATGACTTCTTCAGTCCTTCCATCGAACTTCTTTTGCAAAAACATGCAATATAACTCCAGGATGACATGATTGCTGGGTACTCCCTCTACCTTACATGTGATTTAAACAGACTGTTGAATCAAGAGGTGATTAGGCAGAAAACCTGTAGAGCACTATACTTCTTTATGTGACTTTCCTGATCCTCTAGGCGCTACAACCTCCTGTAATATTGACATTTTAGGAGGAAAACTTCTGTCAGAAATGTTCCTTATGACATTTCTTTCAGGGCTGTCCAAAGATTCAACTGTGCTGTTAATTCTTTTTATGCCGCACATTGCAGACGGTGGGGTTTGGAACTGTGCACTAGCCTGTTCTTAATGTGAGCATGTAAACCTTCTCCTTTGAAACTCCTGCCCCTGGACTGGACTCCCTGTATCCCATTTCCTCACATCTTAAATTTATCCCCTCTCCTTTCTTATGACTAGGTTGCTCTTTTCTTCTGTTCTTGGCCTAGTGATTTAGTTTCTTATGTTCTGCTTTTCACAAATTTAACACATATTGTTTGGAAGGACTTAGTCCTGTAAAAGTAGCTTGGGATAATGCTTTTAAGGATTTTTTTCTGTGTATCTGTGTATAACTCCAATGTGCTGTCTGAAATTATATCTCAGGAGAATTTCTCTTTTTAGACAATAAAGTTGTATTAGACACTTTAACTGAAGAGAATCTTGTGAGTGGAAAAAAGATTAGGGGTTACTCACAAGCACCTACCGGCTTCTCATGGGTGCTGTTTATTAGATCCTCCAAAGCATCTCTGACACACTGCAGTCCTGAAAGTATTTGTGTCCTTTTTTAGCAATCAGAAAATTTTCCCGTGTGTAGACTACAGAAATGCAATTATTTTGGTCATAGTGGCAGCCTCGTTCCTCATGCTATAGGAGGATTATTCCTTCATCAATGCATACTTTTTATTAATGGCAGCTTCTTGTATTTTCCAGTGAAAGAAGATGAAACCACTGAGTCATTCTTATTTACCTTTGTGACTAAACAACAGCACAGAGCATTAACTCCATAGCAGTCATTTACTGTCCACCAAGATGCGCTGCTGCCTCTTCCAATTTGTTCAGCAGAAATTCACACATTCCTTTACAAACTGCTACTGCTGTCTGTTTGCTACAACTAATTAGTGCTGCATGTGAAAAATAGTGCTGGCCCACACTCAGGAGTCCTTTTGAAAGGAAGAGATCTTTATGTACCATTTCTGATTTATCTGACCCTTTTGCATATAGAACACTTGATTTCATCAGGAAAGCTGCCTAGTCAGGATCTCTCTAAGGTGGTTGCCATGGCTGCTGCTTGGTGTCATTCAGGTGGTTTCAGAGTGCCCATCCTTTGTGGGTCTCAGTCCTCCAGCCAGGACCATCGTTCAGGCCCTCTTTAGTGAGAATGTACCCTTCAGTAGACAGTGCAACAGCTTTTTGTGTTGTTTTGTACTTCTCTGAAGCATTTATTTTGGGCATTTATTGCATTTTGCTGTCCTTTTTATCTTCTCTCTATAGGCCTGGCCAGAGAACTGTAGATGACTTAGAAATTATATATGAAGAACTTCTTCACATTAAGGCCTTATCTCATCTTTCTACCACAGTAAGTGTTTTTAAAAATATAACTCATCACCAAAAGGGAAGTTGAATTTTTACTTCTCGTGCTTTATTAGAATTGGAGCACCTACAATTCTTTCCATTTATGCTTCCCATGCAAAGAAGTTATTCTCATCTGTGAGGACCACCCAAGCACTATGCAGATGTAGGTTGTCTTTTGCATGTCAGGTATAATTTTCTTCATGTGTTTCTGCACAGCCCCTACCTTACTCACTCACAGGTGCCTCTGTCTGTGTCCGTATCTGAGTTTAAATTAAGATGCATGCCATCTGACCTGACTCCTGGGACTGTGGCGCTACTGAATTTTGCAGAATAGAGATCTGATTTCTGAACTATGAGAAGTCTTGGCTTGAACCAGTTGGGAGGAGGAATTACACAGTGCAGAAAGGTGTGCTGTGCTACTGGCTGGGTGGGATTTTGTCTGAGAGTGAAGGAAACCTCATCAGATACAGGCTCTCTGAGTGGGCAAGAACAGTGCAGAGAACCGAGAATAAATGAAATGGAGAAAATACCTGGAGGAGAGAATGTTTGAAGTCTCACCAGCGTTGACACACTGTGCAGGCAACTGAAACAAGTTAAATAACACTTTACTTGATAGCAGGAAAATGTGGGTGCTTTCAGAAGGAAGCCTGTCAGAAAGTAGATTTATGTGTGACAATAGCTTCTTTGGAAGCTCTTTTTATTTCCCATAGTTCTCAGCTAACTTGGACAGATGCAGCTAATTATGAAATTGCATTACAAGAAGATAGTACTCTGTGCAAACATGTAACACCTGAGCAGTGCTTTTCAAAAGCATATGTATCCAGATTTGGTAACTGAACTAACAGGAAATAGCCAAAATCCTTAAGCATTTCTGGGATGTAGGAAAAAAGTATTTAAAGAAAGACTTCTGCAAGATCCAGAAATGACCCTTTTCAAATCAAATAAAAGAAACTACCCAAGGCAGACACTGAGAGGGAGTGGAGAACACTGTTGATACTACAGACATAACCCAGAACAAAAAAATCCAAAACATAAAATATTTCCAGCTCAGAAAAAATTCAGACTTGGGGTCAGAATCCACAGCAAGTAGCGTATAGAACAAGTATGGCAAATGATACAAACTGCAAGAAATACTTTGCATTTTGAAGAAGTGACATTGATTCTATGTTTTTAGAATTTGGAAATGCCAGCATATTATGTGCAGAATGAACTAAAGCACAGGAGAGAAACTATGACGAGCTTACAGGAAATCTTCAGAGGAGCAACAGACAGCATTGCTCCTATGAACCAGAAGAGTAATGGTCAATCAACTTGAAAGCAAACGGAATGTGTATTCATTTCAAGCAAGGCATAATTCCTAAAGTATTAAGTTTTCTAGATATGTCATGAGCAGCAGGAAGTAAAATGGATGAAACTCAAGTTGCATGGTGGTGAACTAGTCTCTGCTAGAGAGGCCTGTGAAATTAATGTATGAATGAAGCACAATTATATAATACAGTGTTAAAACCAAATCAAATTCTTGGCTTCATCAAGAAGATTCATTCACTGAAGAGGCAAATGACTGAAACACTGAGAAGACATCTGAGGACGTACTTGGATAGGAAAGCTCTCACAATGTGCAGAACAGTGCTAGTGGGGTTGTATTTCCTCTCCTTACGAAAGTGTCATTGTCTTCAGGCAGAAGTTATAAAAGAGTTTGATGATCTAATTGTTACAGAAATCACAGGCCTGTGGGTGCGTTCACTGGTCAGTGTAGTAAAAAAAACCTGTCCAAACACCCCTGTTTATCCCTCATCTTCTCCAGACTGCAAACGGAATCCTTTGCACTGGCTGTCAGGGAAGAGTTCTGGGAGAGGTGGCTGGTGTGATATGTTTATGCTTGGTGCCTGAGCAAAGGTTTTGTGTGTGCCTGTAGGACATCAGAGCCTGAATTTGTCCACTCATCTTAGGAGATGCAGCCACCAGACTCTCATCTGGATTGTGTCCAGAATTTGGAAGTTCCTCCCCAGGTTTTTATTCATGGCCTAAAAATTTTTTCAACTTAACCAGTTGGGAGAATGATGTGAAAATGCTACTATTAAATATATGTTGGAGCCAGCTTTTGATCTGTATTAGGCATGGTTAAGTTACATGGTCATACCTCTGAAACATAGATTGTCACCAGCTGACATTCTCTGAAAACAAGAATCTTGCTGTTTGGAAATTGGCCTCCAAGTTCTTGGAGACTTGCAGTTGTACGGAGAGAGACATAAAGCACACAGGAAAACTCAGGATAATACGAGGTTCCCAGTGCTGCCACTATTTTGTGAAAGTAACACCAACAGTGTTTACAGTGAGGTGAAGCAGTTGTAGACAGTGTCTCACTAGAGGCGACTGCCCAGTCAGTCGCAAGAGCTAGTCGCACCAAAGCAATACCAACCCAGTGAGGACAGGCTGACACCAGGGGCACTGTCACATTCTCCAGCTTCTGGGAGAGGTAGTGAGCTGGACGTTTTGCCTGGGAAGCTGTCACGTGGAGAGGGGCCTCAGCAGGTCCAGATGGCTGTGCCTCATGGCTCAACACAGCAGGAGTGGCCAGACTTGTGTCAGTAAGGGGAAGAGAACTGATTTCTCAGGGGAAAACAGGAGTGCCACAGAGCCCCATGGAGTAATTGACAATTGCTAGCTATCTTCTGTAATAGATTAGCTATTACCGTTTGAAATTTTCCATCATGTTAATGTTAATTGTGAATGATGGTTTCACATGTGTGTGTATGAAGAAAGATGTGGAGATCTGTATCTTAATGATGCCCTTGTCTGAACCATTCGGAGCCAGGAAATGTAGAGGTTCATGTTCTGTAAAGCCAATCAGTAGGAAATAGGACATCAAGTGGAGCAGACCATTGTCTGGCTGTGTGACTCTGAACAATGAGTGCTGAACGATGCAGAGGGAGGGAAAACAACAGCTGGGGTATATTATGTGACTTCCTCTCACCAGGAAGAATAAGATGCTTATGAAAACTATAATTTCTCTCTCTTCATTTTAAGGTAAAGCGAGAATTAGCAGGTGTCCTCATTTTTGAGTCACATCCCAAAGCAGGAACGGTCTGTAAGTAAATGGAGTCCTGTCAGAAATTCTTTCTCGTCTGTGACATGAACATTTAAATTATTGATGTTTAAAAGACAAGAGCAAAACTTGGATGCACTCTTCAAACTTAACTGGCACTCAGTGTTTAAAATGTGAAGTAATAGGTGTTGGCTTAGTCTATTACTGATTGCAGGGACAGTACTAAAATTAACTCTATATCCTTGGTTGGATGTATGTATCACCTACAATTTGGGTGTGGTTTTATCTAGAATTTTGAGTTGGACCAATCTGTATTTAAAATTTATTTTAATATTATCCTTGTGTTAAAAAAAAACCCTTGCTGCACAAAATAAAGGATTTAAAATGTTAGGTTGCTCAGACCTGTTTATACTGAGAAGTTTTCACAAATGAATGTCAAATTCACAGCCACTAGAGAATTGGATTAGAACATGGTGCTACTGGTAGGCTCCAAATCTGTGTGCTGATTAGAAACTGATAACCTGACATGTATCAATAAAGTAGTTGTTGCAATAGTAATGGAAAAAAAAGCAACTTTTACAATAGTGTGATAAAATAGCTACTATATGAATGTAGGATTTGTTTTGTAAAATCTGAAGGCAATTGCTTTTAAAATCATAGTAATCCCTTTTTCAAGGTAGACATTAATATGACTGCAGTAGAGTTGCCTTGAATTTTATTGAGTGCAGAATCTCACCCATTTATATTTTGAATAACTATATTCTCCATTCTTCTCACCATTAAATCTTTTCTCTCTCTTGTAGTATTTAATCAGGGAGAAGAAGGTACTTCTTGGTACATTATCTTAAAGGGATCAGTAAACGTAGTCATTTATGGCAAGGTATTTTTTTCAGAAGCCTTTTTATATGATTCTTATTATTGAAATTATAAGAGTAAACTTTGAAGGAATACAGTTTAATTTAAAGCAAAACTGCCTTGTCTGAGGAAACGAATGTAATTTTGTTAAGATGTGATCCAGTGGTTTCACTGATTATACTTCCAGTTGATTGCTGTGTAATTTCAGGATATATTACACACTTACTGAATATAGTTCAGCAAAGTTACATCAGTATCTTTAGGACAAAGTAATTTGCTAGAATTTGGTGAATTGCCAGACTTCTGTCTCATGGAGGGTATTGCCCAGTCCCTTTACCACCATATTTTGTTGCATTTGTATGACTGACTTTTCTCACACACATCAGGCATGTCTGACAGAAGTACTGCTTTGTAAAGAGTGGTTCTTAGGTTGGATGAACCCCTCCCAAATTTATGCCACCTCTTTATTTTAGTTAAGCTATAAACTAAAAATCATCTCTATTAGATTTCCTGTTTATGAGAGAGAGATTTCAAGGCAAAAAATAGGACTTTGGTACACAGCAATTCCTTGAGTCTTTAAAAATCTCTCCTTCCCTATTGATTTCTCATTCAGCGACTGAGAATCCTCCATTCTGAACACGAAGCATTTCACCAAAATCTGGCATAGAGGCCATGGTCTAAATCTCTTCTTAAGTAATTCATATTTAGCTACATTTTTTACATCACTGTGTGTGGGCCAAATCCTCTATTGCTATGAATTGGAGTTAATGGAGCACTGCTGATTTACACTAGCTGAAGATGTGGTGTTATATGTTACTTCTGCAAACTTGATCTTATTTTTTAGGGCCTCTTTAAATTAAAAAAAAAAAAATTAACAACTTTCTGTCTTCAGCAGGGCTAGAAGAGTCCTTCAAGCTGAATGTAATTTCAGAGAACAAGCCAATTCTTTTCTATTCTTGCCTTTCTTTAGCAATAGTAATAACCAGCTATCAAGTATTGTTTCCTAGTCATTATTTTGGCTGTTGATTTCCTGCCAAATAGATTTGTTTTGGTATTTGATTGTGAAGTCCAGTGTTTGTACAAAGACTTTCAATAGAATCCAGAGTAATAATGGGTTTCTGCATGTAAATGTTTTGCTCTGTGCAGGGTGTGGTATGTACTCTACATGAAGGAGATGATTTTGGCAAGTTAGCACTTGTGAATGATGCTCCGAGAGCAGCATCCATTGTTCTGCGTGAAGACAACTGCCACTTCTTGAGAGTAGACAAGGAGGACTTCAACAGGATCCTTAGGGTAAGAGTCAGAAGGGCTGCCCTGACAACTTAATATCAGAACTTGCAAATTTTTCTAGAGTCTGTCTTATTTCTATGGATATATCGATATTGATTACCTTGTTTGAAGTGTCCCTAGTTACAGAACAGAGATGTGACAGTCTAGAAGATCAAGTAAAGAATATATTAATCACCTTTCATCTTTTTCTGGTCCTAGGTCAGCCATCAAAATGAGACCAAATGCAATGTTTTGTCTCTAACTTGCCTGTGGTCTAGATTTTGCCAAGTGCTCAGTTTTTCCTTGTGCTGTCCTGGATTTCTGGGTCATCTTCTATCGAAATATTGAATAAAACAAGTTTACCTCTTCTTCCAGATAGGTCAGTGTCAGGTACCTTAAACTCAACAGATTCAAGGCAAAATCAAGAGGCAGATCAAATAAGCTATGGGTAAATACACAGATGTCTTTATCAGAGAGTTCTAGAAAGATATTCCCAGACTAATTTTACAGTTACTCACGTTGGGGCAAAGGCGTTCCAAAGTCCAGCTGTAATTCTGTAAATACAGACTGTTTTATGATCATTCATAGTATAGGAAGTCAAAACCAGTATCATCCTGTATTTGAATGTGTATGTGCCCAGTATTGCAGCAGTAAAACCAGTCCAGACAGAGTACTGTGCTAGAAAAATGACATAAGATTGTGTTTACTGTACAAAAGGGAATGAGGATCCCATTGGCAGTAAGATGGGGTTGGTCATGGAGACTCCCAACTGATTTAGCTTTGGTTGATACTTCAAAGATCAAAGTCCCTGGTCTTACTGATTTTCATCTATGTTATTTAATACACATTGTATTTAATTCTTTTTTTCTTTTTCTACTATTATCTGGTAGTTGAAAATGAAAAGCTTACTGACAGTTTACTGAGATAAGACTTAACCATTTTTAAATGCCATTTTCTTTTGTTTTAAAAAGAGAAATGTCAGATTATAGATAATAAAGTTCATATATAAGTGGCAATAGAGATTACATTACCTATGGAAAGTTTAGGGGGGGACTCTGTTTTTTGGCAAACTTTTTTTCTCCTTTGCCATAGCCAGAGATTTTTCACCTGGTTCTTGTTCTAGTCCTCTTCCACCAGTGCTGGTGCTTACCTCTTGATTATGCCTATGAGAAAAGCAGAATAAAGATAGATAAATACAGAGGAAAAGAACCAACCTAAGAGCCTTTTGTGTTTGAAAGCCATGCACTTTTTCAGAATAACTAACCAGCCAAATCAGGTGCAATTACTTTATTAAAAGTAACTTGTCTTTCAGGATGTGGAAGCAAATACAGTAAGACTCAAAGAACATGACCAAGATGTCTTGGTGTTGGAGAAGATCCCAGCAGGAAACAGAGTTTCTAATCAAGGAAATTCACAGCCTCAGCACAAGTATGTTTTCATTCAATAGTGCAAATGTCAGACAATGATTAACCTTTTCATATGGTATTATTATTGAAACAATAGCATATTCCCCCTTTCTATGGAAGAATGCAGTGCTTATAAAGTTTTCTTTCTTTTAATCATCAGCTGATCACGTGCCACATACTGGATAATATATCCATTTCCAGCAGCACACCAGTTCTATGTCTTTACACAATAATTCTCTAAAGATCTCACTGTAAATACTTATCTCATGTAATAGCTTCTAAATAGACTGCACATGGAGAATGCTGAAACCCTATTAAGCTGAGCTACTGTGTAAAAGACGTGAGGAAAATATATTGTTTTATTGTTAAGTACAAATCTTTTCATTTTGGATTTTGAGCTCTGGATTGTAATACAAGTTTGCTAGGTACAATTCATATACACAACGAAGATCTCATGCAATGAAAGTTGCACAGCTTATCTTACAGAATAGATTTGCACTGTAATAACAATATTCATTATATATTCTTTACTTTCTTACTGAAAGGGAAAAAGTACAATTCTGTCTGGATACTACTGTGATAAGAGTAGAGTGAGGCTATTATCATTCAAAATGTTGGTAAAGCCCCTAAGGGCTTTGTAAATGTGTTATTTGCAAATGGATGCACAATTTTCTTCAGAAAGGCTCTAACAACTCCAACAAAATAAGCACAAAGAAGTTTTGAATCCTTTACCTTGGACATTACTTTTTCTCAAAGAAAGAGCTAATTTACAGTGAGATATTTTGGTTAGAGTTTTTATCTGATCTGGGGTTTCGTATACCTATTTTATCTGCATAACTGAATATAAAGATTTGTAAAGATCTGTGAAGGATTGAAAAAAACATTCCTTGTATCTTATGTGCACATTTCACAATTTCAGAAACAGACATTTCATCTTTCACTTGATCTATTAGAAAAACAAACTATGCTACCGGGAAAACATGTACTCTTACAACAAGTTTTTCTTTGTGTGAATGAGAGGAAATTGACTGCTGCCAGTGGATTTGCATCAGCAGCTGCACAGCAATTTGGTCATAGATTTAAATGCATTTTGTTGGGTCTGATACATTTTTCATGCTTTCAAACATGAGTTTCATTTAAACGTATTTAAAACACTACCTTCCTTGCAAACTCTTTGCGCCACATTATTTGTATTATTTAACATTTTCTTGTTCAAAATTTCATAAAAATAGCTACAGACATTTATAGTTAGTTAAGTTAGACTGTATTTGAGAACTTACATTCCAGGAGTATTTTCATGTAAAGCTCAGAATTTCCTTTCTGTAAATATTTTATGCATTTTGTCAGCTTTTGGGTACTACCAATGTGCCAGCAACAGAGCTTTTGCTGATAACAATGGCAAATAAGCATGTAGCTTATGTCTACCTTGAAGAAGAAGAAGCTACCTTGAAAGTTCTCTGTCTGCTTTTCAGCAGAGAGATTACTTTGTTAATAGTGTGTTGGCAGTGTCTTTTTGTTTAAAATCTTTCAAAGTGAGTTCACTGGGTTTGAAGATTACATTTCTTTTGTTTCTTTTGTTAGTAAATAGAGTAAGTGGCTACATTTATGCTTGCGAGTCCAAATCAAAGTTACTGGTGTATTCTGATTTCCAGAATCTGTTACTGGAATGTGTTGGTTGAGTGTTCAGTACTTTTGAAAATCACTGTGCCCAAAAGAGCAACTTAACAGGGACCTCTTTGTAAAGGCTTGCTGCTTTGCCCTTAATTGGGTAGCTTACATCTCTGATATCTCTTCAGATGAGCCGCCCTTTGGGCTTTGCTCCCTAAGCAAGTATGTACCATTTGCACTAGAGAAATGTTATGCATCCCAAAGTTGTTCCCTGAGATATCCAGTCAACCAAGAAACTGATTTTCTTCGTCTTAGTCTTGGGGAAAACTTCACTTTGAGAACAGATCCTCCCAGTTGCAGCTTGGATTCTACTGCCTCTTCTACGGAGAAGGCATAGCTCCTACATAGCTCCCGAGCCATCCCTTCAAACAGTGACAGTTTGGCTTCGAAGGACTAGCTCTGAAGTTCTGACTCCCAAGATCTAACTCTTTATGGGTGATCACACTCATGCAAGATGAATTCAGCAGCACTGCAAGTCACTTCACTGTTCATTTTCACTTTCATATTCAGAGTACAGCAACCTGTGATTTCTCTGCTTCACTCACTTAGATACTTGGTTAGTATCTCTGCGAGAATGTGCACGGGCTTAACAAGTGTTTGTGTTCTTGGGACATCAATACAGTTCTTCCAAAGGGGTTGGCAGGTAAAAGAACTGTGATGGTCAGTGCTCAAAGTGAGGAGGCGCTCCCAGGAGCTCAGCTCCACCACTTATTTCTCAGCAGGAGCAGAGTATCTTCACTTCTCGGGGTTTTTTCTTTCTTTTTTTTTTTTTTTT